TTTGGTTATTGTTCACAGTGTCAGGAAGTACCTGGACCTGCGAACGGCTTGTTTTAAAAAGACTCAGGATCTTAACATGGGGCTGAGAAACAATGTATAGAGAGCTGAAACCAGCTCAGGAAACCCAAATGCAAACTGATTGTCATACAAAGGCAGACGTTAGAAAGGTGCTGTTGGGATACTGCAGCTCTAGATTCTCTGTGAACTATATTTTATTTTGGATTGTTGGATTAAAGGGGAGGTCCATCAGAAGTGATAACTGGATTATAGGTGGAGCCTCCTGGACTGAGTCGGCTCCTGGGTTCTTATATGTTTTGTATTTTCTTATAGTGGGATTTCCCTCCATAATCCCCTGACTCTGCTCCTGTCCTCCTGGGAGGTTCAGGGTGTTTCCACACCTTTGTGTGTCCCAGCTCCTCCACTGACATTCTCCATAATGTAAACACAAAATCCAGCAGGGTAGGTGGAAAGACCTCATAATGGGCACAGCAGGCATGCAGAGCTGGGGATTTACCAATGGAATCCTAAGAGATAAAAGAGATTGTAAAGCCGGCTATACTTGGATCAAAATCTGGCCTGTTCAGCAGGGACCTTTGCAATTTCAATCCATGTGTGGCCACTGTGGTGAAACAAAAGTCAACCTACCGACTTCTGTTCAACCAACCTGTCTGTATTTTTTTGCTCAATCAGCACCACAGGCGATAGACTGCAACGCTGCTCTGTGTATTCTGATGGTCGGGGAGTCTCCCCGCTGTCAGAATACAAAGACAGAGCAGGATGATTCCCCCATTCACCTAAAATGTGTGGATGAGGGAATTGAATCAGTTTCTTTTGTTCAACCCACCAGTATGTGGTTAGATGGCTTAAGTCTGCAGCATTTGCCAAAAACTGAAATGGTAGTTTTGGGTGGACTTTCTCTTTAACCTCCCTGGCGGTATTCCCGAGTGTAGCTCAGGGTAAAGTTTCAGTACCACAAGCGGTAACCCCGAGCTACATTAGGGAATACCATGCGGCGCTGCTCCGCGATCCCTCGATCACTTACCTTGTCCTGAACTCCCGCGATGTCCCCCCGGCAATGTAATCCGGCCGATGCCGGCATCTGTCTTCTGGGTTCCGTCCCCAGCGAGCGTCGGGAGGTACGGGGGACGGAACGGCGGGAAATTTGAAAATGACAAAAAGTGACATTCACTAAAATCACATAGTATAACATTCCTGTATCAAACCATTTCACATACATTTTGTCCCGAGTGCTTTGTCCGGCGCCCTGCCTGCATTTTTACTGTTCTTTCTGCCTGGAAACTGAGAAACGTCCATGGCGTCCAAAAAGCGTCCCTTTAGGTCAAAAGCGGTTTTAGACCGGCTAGAGAACAGCGATAGTAAATCAGAACCACTTGCAGAATTGAGTGATAATGATTTGTGGGGAAATTCGTCATCAGACACTGAAAACGATTCTGCGACTTTGCTCAGCGATGTGCGAACTTGGCGCTCTATTTCAAATTTCAGTGTTTTTGGTTTGATTATATTATTGAATTAAATTTATTATTATTATTATTATTTTTTATGATTATTTATTAAGTTATAATTTATGATTTCGTTTTTCAAGTTTTATCCTACCCGGGATGTTTACTAGACTCTTGTTCAGACAGATTTCAGTGAGTTTTTCCTAAAAATGACAGGCCTACAATAAAAAAAAAATACATATTTCCATGCAAAAAAATGTACCGCTTTGAGCACAGAAATATGGACATAATCAGACCGCTAGGGAGGTTAAAGCCAGCCATACATGGATGAAATCTTGGCTAGCCCAGTAGGAACTGGCCAAATTTCGATCCATTTATGGGGACAGTGGTTGTACAGAAGTCGACCTATTGATAGGGCTGCAGGAGTGGATTGATTTGTTCTGACTAAGCACATAAGGAGTGCAGCCATCCAGAGCAGTTTCTTATATTTAGTGTGTGTGGCTGGTGAGCTGGGTTTGCTCCCTTGCAAAGTGGCGGAACAGAGAGTGATACTGAGAGAGGAGCACAAATACCTGGAGCGGTATGAGTTTATGAATAAGAAATGTGACATACTTCCCCTATTTGATGCACACGGCTTTTCTGTGCAGCAAAGTTCTCTTACTGAAAATGATACAACTGTACAAATAATAATGACTACAAAAGAAATAAACAGTCAATATTGCAGTGTTTCCTCACCTGGCGGTTAGTGAATTAATGCCTACTTACATTGATGGCTAATGGAAAAGTGCCCCTTTACACTGGTGGTCAGTGGACAAGGACCCCCTTACATTGTTGGTGGGTGGAGAAAGACCCTGTTACATTGGTGGCTGCGGTGAAGGACACCCTTACATTGGTAGTCAGTGGAGTAGAACATTGGAGGACAGTGGACTATTATATTGGAGGTCAGAGAGTAGGATTTTTTAAAATTGGTGGTAAGTGGAGTAGGATTCTATTACAGTAATGGTCAGTGGAGTAGGATTCTGTTACATTGGTGGTAAGTGGAGTAGGATTCTGTTACATTGGTGGTCAGTGGAATAGGATTCTGTTACATTGTTGGTCAGTGGAGTAGGATTATGTTACATTGTTGGTCAGTGGAGTAGGATTCTATTAGTGGTGGTCAGTGGAGTATTCTATTACAGTGGTGGTCAGTGGAGTAGGATTCTGTTACACTGGTGGTCAGTGGAGTAGGATTACAGTGGTGGTCAGTGGATTCGTTTACAGTGGTGGTCAGTGGAGTAGGATTCTGTTACAGTGGTGGTCAGTGGAGTAGGATTCTATTACAGTGGTGGTCAGTGGAGTAGGATTCTGTTACATTGGTGGTCAGTGGAGTAGGATTCTATTACAGTGGTGGTCAGTGGTGGTCAGTGGAGTAGGATTCTATTACAGTGGTGGTCAGTGGAGTAGGATTCTATTACAGTGGTGGTCAGTGGAGTAGGATTCTATTACAGTGGTGGTCAGTGGAGTAGGATTCTATTACTGGTGGTCAGTGGAGTAGGATTCTATTACAGTGGTGGTCAGTGGAGTAGGATTCTGTTACATTGGGGGTCAGTGGAGTAGGATTCTATTACAGTGGTGGTCAGTGGAGTAGGATTCTGTTACATTGGGGGTCAGTGGAGTAGGATTCTATTACAGTGGTGGTCAGTGGAGTAGGATTCTGTTACATTGGGGGTCAGTGGAGTAGGATTCTATTACATTGTTGGTCAGTAGAGTAGGATTCTATTACAGTGGTGGGTGGTATTACAGTGGTGGTCAGGAGTAGGATTCTGTTACAGTGGTGGTCAGTAGAGTAGGATTCTATTACAGTGGTGGTAAGATTTCTTTACATGGTAAGGTCAGTGGTAATTCTGTTACATTGGTGGTAAGGGTAGGGTTTTGTTACATTGGTGGTCAGTGGAGTAGGATTCTATTACATTGGTGGTCAGTTGAATAGGACCCTTTTAGACTGGAGGTCACTGAAGACTGCTCCTCACTTTCGAGGTCAGTAAAAAATATGCCCCATTACAGATTGCTTAGAAAGGTAATTGGTGTATTTGGCTAATTATCTGAGAGGCAAACACTGCTCAGTGCTCAAGGAACCCCTAGCAACCTCTGGAGGAACCCTAAGTTGATAAACACTGCTATGGGAAAATAACATTAGTTGGCCCCTAGGGTGTAGATTATGGCATTCAAAGCGTAGGTCCTGGCTCATATGAAGTACTGGCCAGTAAGTGCACTCTCCTTGGACAGGGTGAGTAGGCAGGTCTTATCATCAGGAGTAGGGCTTCTCCATCAAGTCAAGGCCTTAGTAAAATGGTAGCTAAACCCGACCATAGATGGTTCAAATCCCAGCCGGTTCAGCAGGGACTGGCTGAGACTTGAACCATGTATGGGCAGGATGAATGTGCCCAATTTTATCTATCGGTCAACTTGTGTACGACAAGCCTGCCAGATTTTACATGTGATTATTGCTAGTGGCTGTTGTAGCCGCTAGAAATAATCACTGTCTCGGTGGGGTGGGGGGGGGGGGGGGGGGGGGGTTTTTTCCCTGTCAACACTGTCTGTGTTAATGGGGGAATTGCGTAAATTACTTTCCTGCAACTTGTAGTTGCAGGAAAGAAATTTGTTTTGTCTATGACCTGCCTAAGGTGTGCACAGAAGGGGCTTTTGTGACTAATAGCAGGTTACTGGTAATATAAATATGTTTAATACCAAAACTTCATAACTGTGTTGCTTTTGTCCCCACAGAGGAGGTTTCTTCCCACTCCCTGCCCTATAAATACAACAGGGAGTATGTGAAAATCTCTGCAAAGCAATAGAAAAAAAAAACATGTTTGACAATTGTCACCATTTTCTAGCAAGTACTGCTTCTCTACCAAGGCTGATGTGAGCTACAATATGCAAGGCTAGCAGCTCGGTCCATGCTAATTCCAGTTTGAGACATGTTAGATGATTTCCTAAAGCTAGAGAGTGCAAACTCTGGTGCAGCTACGCCTGATAGCCAAACTGCTTCTACTTGCAGCTTGTAAAAATTGAGCATTAACAAAAAAAAAAAATTAAAGCTGACTGACTTCTATGCAGAGCTGCACCAAATTTTGCACTCTATAGTTTTAGTAAATCAACTCAATTGAGGCCTGGAGTGTGCAACAGTGGCAAATAGCAAAATCTAAAACAACTGACTGGCGCACAAGGGCAACAGGGGAATTTTGTACGCTGGATGTGCCATTTTATTATATTTCTGTGGAAATAATACACTGACTGATCATTTCTTATTTTTTTCTCTTTTTAGCTTGTAGGGTCTCAAAATGTACGAGGGTTGAGGAGATGCTTTTACAGAAAATTGAATCACGCTCCTTCCCATGTGTGGTCCCATGCAATTCATTTTTAAAAGGATTTACTACTCTACCTTTACTACTACCTTTTAATGTGAGGACATTGCGGCCGTGGATTTTTATGGCTGTGTTATGATTTAGACTATTTTTTTTTTACTGTGGATTTTTTAAAACATTTTTAAACCATACAAAAATGACCACCTCATCTATTCGGAGGCAGATGAAAAACATTGTAAATAATTATTCAGAAGCCGAAATTAAAGTCAGGGAAGCCACCTCCAATGACCCATGGGGTCCTTCTAGCTCCCTCATGACGGAAATCGCTGACTTGACCTACAACGTGGTGGCTTTTTCTGAAATCATGAGTATGATCTGGAAGAGACTCAATGATCACGGGAAGAACTGGAGGCATGTTTACAAAGCTTTGACCTTGTTGGACTATCTCATCAAGACTGGCTCTGAAAGGGTGTCTCACCAGTGCAAGGAGAACATCTTCGCCATACAGACTCTAAAGGACTTCCAGTACATCGACCGGGACGGCAAAGACCAGGGGATTAATGTACGGGAAAAGTCTAAACAGTTGGTGAGCCTTTTGAAGGACGATGAGAGGTTGAAAGGAGAGAGAGCCCAGGCACTTAAGACCAAAGAGCGTATGGCACAGGTGGCCACCGGGGTGGGGAGCAACAACCAGATCAGCTTTGGCCGAGGATCTAGTCAACCTAACCTGTCCACGAGTTACTCAGAGCAGGACTACGGAAAGTCAGGTGGATCTCCAGCATCATACCATGGATGTAAGTAGATATCTAACTATGGAGACTAGGTCTAATTCTAGCCAAAACATTGTATTTTTTTTTAGGATGAAGCCGGGGGGGTTTGGGAGTGTTAGAACCTGAGTCAGGCTTGAGATGGAAAATACCGACAAAAACGCATCTTTGTAAAATAGGGAAGGGTTAGAATTTGACGATATTTTTATTGCAGCCTGTCCCGCTGACAACCTCTCCTCCAATTTGTTGCCGTGTTGTCACAGGGACAGAAATTGAGGGAAGATCTCCCTAGTGAGGTGGTCAGTGGAGAAGTGACCCCTATCATTGTTGGTCAATGGAGAAGTGACCTCTTACATTGGTGGTCAGTGGAGAAATCACCCTTTATATTGGTAGTAAATGAAGAAGTTACCGCTTACGATGGTGGTGAGTGGATAAATCACCCCTTATATTGGTAGTAAATGGAGAAGTTACCCCTTACGATGGTGGTGAGTGGAGGAGTCACCTCTACATTGGTGGTCAGTGGAGAAGTCACTCCTTACATTGGTGGTCAATGGAGAAGTCGCCCCTTACACTGGTGGTCAGTGGATAAGTCACCCCTTATATTGGTAGTAAATGGAGAAGTTACCCCTTACGATGGTGGTGAGTGAAGGAGTCACCTCTACATTGGTGGTCAGTGGAAAAGTCACTCCTTAGATTGGTGGTCAGTGGAGAAGTCACCCCTTACACTAGTGGTCAGTGGATAAGTCACCCCTTATATTGGTGGTAAGTGCAGAAGTTACCCCTTACGATGGTGGTGAGTGGAGGCGTCACCTCTACATTGGTGGTCAGTGGAGAAGTCACTCCTTACATTGGTGGTCAGTTGAGAAGTCACCACTTACATTGGTGATCAGTGGAGAAGTCACCCCTTACATTAGTGGTCAGTGGATGTCACCCATTACACTGGTGGTCTGTGGAGAAGTGACCCCTATTATTGGTAGTCAATGGAGAAGAGACCCCCTAAATTGGTGGTCAGTAGAGAAGTGAGCCCTTACATTGGTGGTCAGTGGAGAAGTGAAAACTTACATAGGAGGTCACTGTAGGTAGGAGATTAATTCCCCATTGCTCACTGCTAAAGGAACCCCCACTTTCACTTTGGTGAAAGGTTTCAGTCAGCAGTCTCGGGGCTTTTAGAAATCTATACAAAGGAGACTTTGAGATAAATTACAGGCATAAAATACGTGTAGTTGTAGTTGAAATGATTGGTCTGACAACAGGGTCTCTTTAAAAAGTCAGTTCACTCAAAGCTGATATTTTTATACTAGGCTGGGATGGGCTAAATCCTTCACTGTCATGTCTTTTTAGGACTGTGAACATCACTCTGTTGATCCTTCCAGAACTCTAGTAAGCTGGTAATTTCCTGGGTCACACTGTTACCAGTTAGCATTGTTTCCAGCAATTTCTATGCACTACAAAACACCCCCACTGTATGTTATAGGAAAGAGAAAGAGGGTGTGTTGTGTAGCCCCTGTCACAGGGTGACAATGTTGCTCCTCCATAGATACAGTACGTTGATTGAGTGTTGTCACTCTTAAGACAGGAAGTATGTGACTGGCAAAGATCCTAAAGGAAAAAGTAGACTGAAACCTAATGCAGCCACAACATCTAAGACCCAGTAAATTGCAATATAATACATTTTTGTTCTTGGGCTTACATTCACTTGAATCCCTGTTGTGATTCCACTCTACTCTTGAACACACTGTGGGAATATTGAGCTTGCCAGGTACACAGCGTCTCTGACAGTGTTATTTTTAGACAGATGTCACAAGTTCCTACGTGTCCTTCTAAGTTGTGTTTTTTTAGAAACAGCCACTTATCTTTCAAGTCAATCTAACATACAGTACTCCTTGGTGCTGTCACTCTGCATTGTTCTGTGATAAACATGTGTCCTACGTTGTCAGCAAAGGGATCCTTGTATTATTTTTTTAGGGATAGTCTATTATTTATTTTATTATTGAACAGCTTGAACTTTGGTGCAAATGTATTTTATATAATCTGGACATATTTACTAAAAGACTAAGACGAACGCTAAAGCCTATGAGATTATTAGGCCTAAACCTTGAAAATATTTATTATGCTTCATACAGTGTTTATGGAGAAAGTGCTATAGGTTATTATTAGTTTTACTGCTATTCTATGTACTATTATTAGAGCAGAGTAATGCCCTTTTTGTATTGTTTTACCACTACTACATCAAAGGAATAACTCACAGATCTGAATGCTATCTCTCACACACACCAGCAGTAAATCAGTATTGACAGTGTGTGATATTTAGGCCTTGATCCATTGTAATCCACCATCCATATAAGGGGTCCATAATTAAGCCCTGTTGTGGGTGAAACATGTTGGGGGTACAGCTTTGGGTGGGACTGAGCACCATTGCAGTAAACCTTGGCTGGAATTGAATGTCTTCAGTGTGAATGGTGGATTACAGTGGAGTAAGAGCGGATTCTAAGGCTACGTTCACACGTAGGCGTCAGACAGGCGTTTGGGAACGCTTCTCAAACACCTATGAAAATTCTGCACATGGCAGCACACAGGGCTGTTCACACTGAAGCGTTAGCGTTGCGGCAAAACTGACTCCTCGTGTTGAGTCAGGAGGAGTTGAAGCCTCCCATTAAAGTCTATGGTGCCGATCCTCAAACGCCTGGCAGGCATTTGCGGGGCGTTTATACCATTTAACTTCATTATAGGCGTTTGTGGTACGGTTGTAACGCTCAAAAGTGCACATAGGGCGTTTGAGGGGCGTTAAAAAGCTTCCCAAATGCCTGTCTACCGCCTGTCAAACGCTATAGGGGTGTTTGGCAAGAGTTAGAAATAAGTCAAGTGTGAACGAGCCCTAAGTCCTTGGCACCCGGCTGATTGCAGCAAATCGAGGAGGACACAGGATGGTCTGTGAGTGGTGAAAGGGTTTGGGTTCGTCTGACATTTAGGCCTCCTTCACATGGGCCATTTTGGGACAGTGGCAATAATCAGCAGACTCTTGCAGCCAGAATCACGGGTGGTTACATTTGGCTGCAGCAAATCGTACTGGGTGATTGAATGATGACAATGGCCTTGACTACCTGCTGGTAAATGCACATGGAGAGGTTATCTGCGTGTAGGGATGGATGATTGCTGCTAAACACAGAGAGATGTCATAGATTTGTACAGGCTGGGTGGTCACCGCTGTTCCCCATCTTCCCAACCTAAGAATCTGCTAATTTATGCTGCTGGAATCAGGTGTATGCCCTAATCGCTTGTGTGAAGGAGGCCTTAGGGTCCATTTATATCTTTGCGTTGCTCTTACGCACATATCAAGTTATGACAATGCAGGGTAAATGCAAGTGTGGTGCCATTGAGCTTGAATGACACCCCATTGCACTGAGCCAACACACATGCTTTGCAGTATGTTGTGTTACACATCTAATTTTATGGACACTTTGATGTATTGGCAGTCCGTTATTGTAAACGAGTTATAAATGCATGTGCATTGGTGTACAGCAAAAATAAAAACTCTGGAATGCAATGCTAAAGAATAAATGTAGATGAATGCAAAGCTGTGTATAATAATAAGTGCATTTTTACTGTGCAAGTCATCTTCTTACCATTTAAAGAGAACCTGTCTCAAATGTAGGTTTCACTGAATAAATGTTATTAATGTATTTGAGCTTTACTGAAGGTCTCGGTTTTTTTGCTGCACACGTTGAGTGCGGCTGAGCCCCGCATCCCTCCTGCAGCCCAGCTTTGCCTTCTACAACCTATAATAATGTCATGTTGCTTGAACTCCATCATCCAACAAGCAGGCAGGAGGTGTGTCCTGACCCAGTTCTCTGGACTGAGTTGTGCTCCTGCAGCAATAGCTACAAAGACCTGGCTGTTATCTTGGAACCTAACCTGGATCATAAGACCAGCTAAACAGAATTACAAATGCTTTGACAACTAAAAACAGTTCACAAATACATCTTTCCACTGTGTATTTAGTTGCTGCCCCACAGTTCATCTATGAATCCAGGTCCATGGTAAAAGTTGCATGAGAGAGGTATGTAAAACAGATCAAAGTTATCTGAGGGCAGCACCATCCCTTTAATGAAACGAAAGTCAGCAAATGAACAGCTGCTCTTCATCGTTATCTGTAGCATAGACACTCATCTAATCTCCCATTTCTATAAGTGTGACAATGCACAAGGCCAGAGCTCCACCCTCCATCATTATCGCCCCCTAATCCAATTTAGCCTCTTTTGAAATGGAGAATGGCATTCTGCCTCCTGACTTTCAAAATCCAAACTAATTATCCCTTGAAGTCGCAGAGTGTTAAAAGCTTACTTGATTTTGTTTTGCATGGCTGAAGGATAGGAACAAAGTGGCTTGTATTTGCAGATTGTGATGCAGCTCTGATTGCATTCGTTTGCAACTAAATGCTACCCGTTGCATCTTTGTTGCAGATTTGATTTTATAATGTGAACAGATATCGGTGCAACTCACAAATGTTTTGTCCTGATCTTCTTTAAAGTGAACCTTATCTTTGCCAATGCAAGACAAAGCAACATGTTTAAAGAGGAACTTTACATATATTTTTTAAATTGCTAAAGGGTAAGGTTTTCTCTTTTTTTTTGTTTTTAGCAGAAGAGACTTTGAATGTCTTTTCTGCTACAGAAAAAACACAAAACCCTGTAAGATGTCAGGAATGCAGCCAGGGATGTCATTGCTGCATGAATGCACAGGAATTACATCAGAAACAGTCAGTTATGCAGGCCATAGACGGGTCGTTTATCGGCCGCATTTTCGTTCGCATGAAATATCGGCCGATAATCACACCGTTTGTGGGGCCAGCCCGTCGGCCATTTTTTCACGGATCTCCTCATTTATTTTTATCGATCATGCTGGAAAATCCCTGAAAAATTGCCATTTTTCGTGGACATTGGTGGCAGCATCGGCAACGGGGCCGACCGATTTTTCGTTTATCGGACGACAATTCGGCCAATAAACGGCCCCCATCTGTGGCCTGCCTTAGTGGGAGATCAGTGATCAGAAGAAGTGGCTTCGATCTGATTGGGTGTAACTCAATAATGAGCTGCCTTAAAACATGGCATGATAAGGCGTGTGTTAAAGAGGAACTTCAATTTGATTCTTTTTTTTTCTTCATCAGCAGCTACAAAAACTGTAGCTGCTGACTTAAAAATGGGGTACTTACTAGTGCTTGGGGTCCAGCACTGTCTTCATGTTAGCTGGTTCTTCTTTCCCCTGCAGGTCCCTGGCGCCGCCATCTTGGATACAGGAGCCGATTGTGGCTTCTAGAGGAAGCACAGCCGGCTTCCCATTGCACAGACGTGAGCTTATACAACACTTAGTGAATGGTCCTGCAGTGTCCTGGGGCAAGTGATGAGTCCTGGGAGGCTTCGAGAGGGGAGGTGGCAGGACAAGGCATGTCATCCCCGTCTAGATGAGAAATGTGGAACAGGGAGTGGGTACCAATAAAAATCAGTACTCACTCCCCCCTTACCCCACAAAGACCTGTAACTCAGTAGAGAGAGTGCGAATCAGAACTTGACTTTTTTTTTGTGAAGTTCCGCTTTAAATGCGCTTCACTGGATCTCCCAGGTGTAGATAATGTAAACAGAAAAAAAGGAGCTCCCGCTGCATTTTAGGAATTATGTTTTTATACCTGGTTCATACCTGTCAGGCTTTTTTCAAAAAGGCTGCTTCATGTCTGTCAGTTCTTTTCAGCAGGTCCTGTGATCCAGCCACCCCTGCCAGACAGCACAGTCTGATTGGTGATTCACTTTACAGAGGAAAACAAAAACAGATGTTGGTGAATCTTTTTAGCAGCTGATAATTTGTCAGCAAATGTTTAATGAATCTTGGATGATATTTGATGTAGTAAGTAGACCCTTCTGACTAATAATGTCATGGATAGGTTGCATACTTTCAAAATGCATAGGGATATGATTTCTTTGCTGATATAAACTAACAAAAATCACGTGGAGATCATAGAAAAGTGTTGTAGAGGTTGAATACTGGATATCTACCAGCTGGTAAGACTGATCAAACAGAATGATGGTGTTGCCTATAGCAGCCGCATTTTCTTGCCTTGTTTAAAAATGGCCGCTGTTATGTGGCTGTTGCAGGAGGCACAGACACTGACCTTTGCACTGAGTGCTGATAAGTGATCACCATCATATTGACCTGTAATGGAAACACTTTGGTTTGTGTGAAAATATCCAGGATGTATGGTATACATTATTACTAAAATAACATGCATGGTTGTGTTTTATCTTGCCTCCAGTTATGTGTGATGTCCTCACAGGTGAGTGTATTATCTCAGGCATGGCAATTTGCACGGTTTGCATGGCTGGATGGGTCTATTAGTGCCAGATGACACCACCAGACACCCCAAGCTGGCCGCCCCTTTAGAGACACCATAGGCTGTGCTGCATTTCTTTAGATGATTGCTTCTGTTTTCCTGTGAAATAAGATGGCGATGGAGGTGTCTAGTCCTGCTTTTCGCCCCTACTCCTTCGGTATAAACATGCACACTTCAGTGATCTAACCATACATGTTTATGTGGGTATCTGTATAAAGATAAGGTCACATGGTGCAGGTATGGTCCAACCACCCTACAATGTCTATGGTAGGAATGGGCTCGGCCCAGGAGAGCTGCATGGTACATTCCTATAGGCCAGCAGTGAACAGAATAAGATTCAGAGCCTGTGAATGCCTACATGAATGGGTGACTGTCCCGAGGCTGGCCCACTCTGCATCTATTGTGGTCATATCATGTGACTCCTCCACAGCCATCCCTATCATCGACACACACAGGGGCGGACTGACCATTTGGATACTCGGGCACTGCCCGAGGGCCCGGGGTCAGTAGGGGGCCCCATGAGATGCCCCTGGTACCTTTTCATAGGCTTTTTTGAGTTTGGGCAAGGACACAGGGGCCCCATGATCCCCTATTGCCCGGGGGCCCCCAAGAGTTGTCAGTCCGCCCCTGGACACACACATTCCCTGCTTATATATATGGGCTGTTTAAAATGCACCTGTCAGATGATATGAGGAGGAGGTAAATATGCCTGGCCACATGCTTAACCAATTGACCACATTATGAAAAATCATAGACACTGTGTCCATGACAGCTAAATGAGACACTGTGGTAGGAACCTTTACTAAAGGAAAACCCCCATTAAAAAAAAATACCCAGGCTACCGTTACTGACCGGTATGTTTGAAAATGCTAGTTGCCTGGCTTTCGTGCCTACTCAGTGCTTTCGGCACTTTTTAAGTCCATGACTTTGAAAAAGTATACAGATCAGGAATTCTGACTTCCCCAGTTTTGTTCCAGCCAAGCAGATAGCATTTTTTAGAAGGAGTTCAGCCTCTGTACTTCACTTATGCAGGCCATAGACGGGTCGTTTATCGGCCGAATTTTCATCCGCACGAAAAATCGGCCGATACTCACGCCGATAGTGGGGCCAGCCCGTCGGCCGTTTTTTGTGGATCTCCTCATTTTTATCGGTCATGCTGGAAAGTCCGCGAAAAACGGTTGTTTTTTTGGGGACATGGGTGGCAGAATCGGCAACGGGGCAGACTGATTTTTTCGTTTATCGGCCAAAAATTTGGCCGATAAACGGCCTGTCTATGGCCTGCCTTAGTGCAGGTTTTCTTTCTTTGCCAGGGTTACCTTCTTTATGACGCTTCCAGGGTCTATGACACCATAATCTGCTCTAGATGAAGGGTCTGGAAAACCCAGTATCTCAAAATTGCTGCTCGTGGGCTTGACCTAGTCAACAATATAAACGGTTAGCTGCAGACCTGACCAGGCCATGAAATTATGGAGGAAATAAAGTGATCAAAACCTTTCTCAATGACTGCCGCCCTTTCCAAAATAAGCAGGCTCTAGAAGAGTCTGAAGGATGTCTGTGTCAGCCTCCTCCGGTTCTCCCCATTGACTTAAAACACAAACTCTCAGCAGAACTCAGCATCTGTGTTTATGTGGACACGGCTCTGAATAATTTCCCAGGGTGGTCAGATCGTACGGTTACGCCTATTTTCCCAGTGAAGTCCTTGGGTGGCTATATGGTGACAATATGGGGTGACTGTATTAGAAAAGCATTTCCCTCTTTTCCCTTTTCTGAAGGTTTTATTGTGGAAAGGTGTCATTACACAACCTTGCAGAACATCCCATTCTTTCCTCCTGTATCATAATGCCATACCTCCTTTATAGACAGAGGTATAGGGGGATCTGGAATGAAGATGGATTGTCAGAGAGTTCTGTGATCCTCCACACCATGTTATTAAATGCTAAATGGCGGTTTTTGTTTGTCAAACCTGTCCCACGACCTTACCTTCCAATTCTGCCATTGTAACGACACTGTATGACAAACCTTGCCACAGACATCAAGAGTTTTTCCATTCTGCCCTGCAGGTGAATGAGAAAAATCAGTAGATTCCTCCATCCATGCTAAGCAGCTTGGGTGAAGGAATCTCCCATGCTGGCTATTGTATTTTAACAGATGCTGATCCAGCGGCTGTCAGAGTACTGGAATAGTGAATGCTTCTGATTGGATGCAGTCACTGTTTAGCTGAGAATTTTCTGCCTGGCTCCTTCACTTTTCAGAATGAAGTACTTCAAACCGGGTGGTGCCAAAGGGGCCACCCACTGCTCGAGTTTCCTCTTAATTCTGCCATGGCAACAGGATGCTGTATGACAAACCTAACTCCCCTACAGCCAAATTTCCTCATTCTGGCATGGCAACAGGAAGCTGTATGTCAAACCTGACTCTCCCACAACCTAACTTCCTCATTCTGCCATGGCAACAGGAAGCTGTATGTCAAACCTGACTCTCCCACAACCTAACTTCCTCATCATTCTGCCATGGCAACAGGAAGCTGTATGACAAACCAAACTCTCCCACAACCTAACTTCCTCATTCTGCCATGGCAACAGGAATCTGAATGGCAAACCTAACTCCCCCACAGCCTAATTTCCTCATTCTGCCATGGCAACAGGCAGCTGTATAACAAACCAAACTTTCCCACAACCTAACGCCCTCATTCTGCCAAGGCAACAGGAAGCTGAATGACAAACCAAACTCTCCCACAACTTAAATTCCTCATTCTGCCATGGCAACAGGAAGCTGTATGACAAACATAACTCCCCCCACAACCTAACCTTCTAATTCTGCAGTGGTAACAGGAAACAGAGTAGGCCGTAGACAAGACATGCATTTCTAATGCACTACAACCTTCATCCCGATAAGAACCAAGTACATTGTAGACTCCCCCAACCCTCCTCCTTGAAAGTTGCACAGGGGCTTGCTCTCCCATCTTTCTGTTCATGGAAATGGGATACTGCAAAGCAGGCCAGTAAAATATTATGCTTTGTAAATTTGATTTGTATAGTATATATCATTTTATTTGATTTTGCTACCTGCTCTTTCCCTTTGTCCCAGCAGCACTGCATGGCGTACTTTACCAGAATGGATAATACTGAAATGTTTTACCAAGCTTAGACAGATGTATGTGTATATAAAGGAACCGTGTACGGGGGAATAGGCTCCTGCTATTGGTCACTAACTTGCTCCAATTTTATTTCCTGCCCTAGATTCAAATGAATGGGCTCCTGTGCCTGCGCGCTCAAATATGAACCTAGACTAAGGTCTCTTGCACACATATTAATTTACTGATGTTTATGCACAGGATGTTGGTGGCAGAAAGGTCCTGAGAAACAAAATATGTTCCACAAAGATCTTGGCACGACGCAACTGTTGCGCAATACCACCGCCAAATGTGACCCATTCAAGTGAATGGAGCCATGCTGCAATCACAACATTTTCAGTGTTAAAACTGGTGCTGAGGAGGTGACGTATTACCTCCTCACCATCTGTCAAATGCCTCTGAAAAGCAATCCACTGATCATGTCACTTTTCAGAAGGGTGGCTGCAGCATTTGAGAATGAGCCCTTAGACGAAAACGCACGAGTTCAGAGCCATAAAAAAAACTTAGGCTGGCCATACACTATACAATTTTCTGTCCAATTTCCTTTAGATTTACCTTCAACTATGTAGTTCAAGATCCTGCCTAATTGTATACAATTGAAAGTGTTGTTAGGTTTGACCTCCTATTATATGTTTTTTGGTAAATCTAAACCAAAAATCTCAAGAGAATTGTATAATGTATGGCCAGCCTTACATGGCTATAAATACAGTGTTTTTTCCACCTGTGTAAAAGGCCTATGGATATCCAAAGCACACAGGAACAGATTCAGAGAAGTGGTGTTCCTTAGAAAGTGGACCCTATAGATTCAATCAGGCAGTATATGAACTGGGAGGTGGGGTTGGTCTAGGGAAGATATATGGGTAAAGGGTAGGGGGCACACCCAACTTATAGATGGACGACTGCCTCAAAGTAAGGAGGGGGGATATATGAAATCCAGGGGCACCATGTCCTCAGATAGTTTTATTTTTAAGAGAGAGGGTCTCTACACTAAAGTGAAGCTTGTCTTGGGATTCTAACTTGGAGATGCAGACAGAGGAATGTACAGCAGAGGAGTGGAAGTAAAGCTTACTATGCACATACCAAGGCCAGTGGGGCACATTGTAGCAGGCCTCCCTTCCTCTGTATGCTGGATTTCCTCTCTGCCTACACATTAAACCCCCAATGTACCCAAAACATCCCAGAAAATCTCTGATGGCTGCTATACAGACTGCTTCCATTGTATGCTAACATCAGGACACCTGGTCAAAAAGTCACAGTGAGTGACAGTTTGTTTTCTGATTGGCTGTTACTGTATACTGTTGCTTTTTGCACCAATGAGGCTTTGTTCTGGGGAAATGTATGCCACAGATCCGAAAAACTTTTCTTCAGCTGAGTATACACATGCAGTTGTTTTCGTTCAAACAGAAGGATGAATGAAGAAAAAAAAAAGGTAGATCACTAGTGATGTGGATGCAGGGATCACCCCTATTGCGCTATTGTATTCTGATGGGGACTCTCCCCCCCCCCCCCCAGTTCACACTGATTTACGCTTGCAGCGTAGGCTGCAGGCACTGCTCGAATGCTGGTTTTCTAGCATGGCTGTTCAACAGAAGCCGATTGTCAGAGAACACATGGACTGAAAGTTTGTTGGTTCCGGATGAACTGGCCAACTTATGGTACCTGTGTACCCGGCTTAATTCACACTTCCCATCCGATACAATCATAGAAGCTGGGTTATGCCAGAGAGTAATGGCTTATTCACACTAGTGCAATCCACATTTGGATCTGACAGGTGATCAGGAGGCATTATATCCGCAGTTGCAGTGAGCTTGCCAAGTGGCCCCATTCGCTCGAATGGGTTGCATTCGTGAGGTGCTATGCGCTGTGAAAGTGACAGGGATATAATTCCTGTCATAGCCATGGCATGTGTACATTCCCAGCTGCTTCTGCAGCTAAAGGAACAGTGGTTTGGAGGAGTGGGGGGGGGGGGGGGGTGTTAAAAGTGCTGCTCAACCCCCTCAACCGCTAGTGTGATTGAGCCCAAAATGAAAGAGTGAAACAAAAAATAAAATACATCTAAAGTAATGTTATTTATGTACGCCTTCTATGGAGATGCACTGATAGTGTTGATTGTATGTACTACAAATTGGGCCTGTAAGGATCTGAATGCTTGTGCTGGAACTTGTTGGTTTTTTTTACTTAAAGTGTTACTAAACCCCGGACCCTGCATTCACTATATCTGGTCTCCCCGGACCCTGCATTCACTATATCTGGTCTCCCCGGACCCTGCATTCACTATATCTGGTCTCCCCGGACCCTGCATTCACTATATCTGGTCTCCCCGGACCCTGCATTCACTATATCTGGTCTCCCAGGACCCTGCATTCACTATATCTGGTCTCCCAGGACCCTGCATTCACTATATCTGGTCTCCCCGGACCCTGCATTCACTATATCTGGTCTCCCCTGGACCCTGCATTCACTATATCTGGTCTCCTGGACCCCGCATTCACTATATCCGGTCTCCCCAGGACCCTGCATTCACTATATCTGGTCTCTCAGGACCCTGCATTCACTATATCGGTCTCCCCCGGACCCTGCATTCACTATATCCGGTCTCCCCGGACCCTGCATTCACTATATCTGGTCTCCCCGGACTCTGCATTCACTATATCTGGTCTCCCCAGACCCTGCATTCACTATATCTGGTCTCCCCAGACCCTGCATTCACTATATCCGCTCTCCCTGGACCCTGCATTCACTATATCTGGTCTCCCCAGACCCTGCATTCACTATATCTGGTCTCCCCGGACTCTGCATTCACTATATCTGATCTCCTGGACCCTGCATTCACTATATCTGGTCTCCCCAGACCCTGCATTCACTATATCCGGTCTCCCTGGACCCTGCATTCACTCAATCCGGTCTCCCGGACCCTGCATTCACTATATCTGATCTCCCGGACTCTGCATTCACTATATCTGATCTCCCAGACCCTGCATTCACTATATCTGATCTCCCGGACCCTGCATTCACTATATCCGGTCTCCCCGGACCCTGCATTCACTATATCTGGTCTCCCCAGACCCAGCATTCACTATATCTGGTCTCCCCGAACCCGGCATTCACTATATCCGCTCTCCCTGGACCCTGCATTCACTATATCCGGTCTCCCTGGACCCTGCATTCACTATATCTGGTCTCCCGGACCCTGCATTCACTATATCTGGTCTCCCCGGACTCTGCATTCACTATATCTGGTCTGGACCCCCCAGACCCTGCATTCACTATATCTGGTCTCCCCAGACCCTGCATTCACTATATCCGCTCTCCCTGGACCCTGCATTCACTATATCTGGTCTCCCCGGACTCTGCATTCACTATATCTGATCTCCTGGACCCTGCATTCACTATATCTGGTCTCCCCGGACTCTGCATTCACTATATCTGGTCTCCCCAGACCCTGCATTCACTATATCCGCTCTCCCTGGACCCTGCATTCACTATATCCGCTCTCCCTGGACCCTGCATTCACTATATCTGATCTCCCGGACTCTGCATTCACTATATCTGATCTCCCAGACCCTGCATTCACTATATCTGCTCTCCCCGGACCCTGCATTCACTATATCCGGTCTCCCCGGACCCTGCATTCACTATATCCGGTCTCCCCCCCCGGATCTGGTCTCCCCCTGCATTCACTATATCTGATCTCCCGGACCCTGCATTCACTATATCCGGTTGTTATTGGGTTCAATATAAGAAAGTCAAAACTTGCACAATTTCAGGGTGATCTGGTGGCAGATCGGTGGTAAGGAGAGTGTGGATGTCTGGGGTGTCTTTTGTAGGGACAGCCTAATACTTTAGCATGAGCAAGGCACATACTTTAAGTGTATCTAAAGTGCTTTTTTTTTTAAAAAAAAAAAAACAAAAACAACAATTTAGGTTTTGGATAGTTAGGGCCCATCCACACAGTGCATTATTTAACACATGACCATTGAATGTGCGTATTTACATGTTTTAAGTGCTTTGCAGCAATTGCAGCAATTCCCGCACCTGTAACCACTCGCAGTCAAAACACGCTGCTGTTTGAAAACGCTCTGGGCTGTCATTCACTCTGAATGACACCCCAATGCATCGAAAAATGAAGTGCGTTTGCAGGTGCGGAAACCGCAGGGAAATAGCTTGGTGCAAAATCAATGGCACTCGAAAATCTCTACCAGCACTTCCATTGGTTCTTACAGAATCCCTGCCAGGACCAGCGCATTTTAAAACAATGCTGGGTGGGTCCTCTGACCCAGAGGGGTATTTAGCCCTGGATTACACTGTGCTGACTGGTTGCAAGTGTGGGAATCGCATATGTTCCAGCAATCACAGCCAAATAGCACTGCTCTTACGAGACGCGCGGGGCTGTTCTTTTTGCGGTTGCGTTTTTAAAAAGGCGCATGCACCTTTTTTCTTACGGAGAACGCAGGCGCGACAGCTCTTTCAAACGAATGGGCTGCCATGTCAGCACAAATGCGGGTGGCATGACCTTTACAAGTGTGAACCAGGGCTTGAGCATCAGTCCTGGAAGTGGCTGGTTCTGTGTCTTTTTTGCCAGTTACCCTGTTTGTGTAAAAACGTGATATTATACTTCCGATTGCAAGTTTCATTATTGATCTGACTTCTGTTGTGTTTGTCTCCTGCCTGGACCCAACTTCAACCTTTATTGCTGCCTGCTGTGACCTGACTATTCTTTTGTGGATCCCTTGGTAGGGTGATCCTGGGGTCGTGACATGGTACCCAGCACACATACCCATCTCCACCATTGGGAGCTGTGGTAAAAGTAGACTGGTTCTTAGACTCCCCGTCTCGCGGGAGCCTGCATCACCCACTAGGGGGTGTAGCCTTTCCCACATGGAAGAAAAATATATTTAAAATACATTTTAAAAAATTCTTCCCAAATATATTGACATATATTTGAAATACTACAAATATTTTTTACAGATATATATTTTTTAATATATATTCTTCAGATTGTTTTTTAACATATAAATAAGTAATTTTAACATATATTTTTACATATATTTGTAAATGCATTCCAAAAATGCAGATTTGTATTTTTAAAGACATACAGTATATTTTGAATAGTATTTTAAAAAATATTTTTCATATATTTTGTAGTAAGAATGTATTTCAACATGCAGTGTGTATATATATATATATATATATATATATATACACGGTGATACTTGAACAAAAATGAGCTGTTTGGTCGAGGTGCGAGTATATATATATATATAAATATACTCGCACCTCGACCAAACATCTAATTTTTGTTCAAGTATCACCGTATTGTACACCTTAAAAACAACCACACACCATCTTTTTCAGCCTGTGTTTCTTTTGAGGTTGCCTGTGGGTTTTTCTTTGAATCCCGGACAATTCTTATGTCAGTTATGGCTGCAATCTTTCCTGAACAAAAATGAGCTGTTTGGTCGAAGTGCCTGAAAGAAGATTTTACTGCACCAGTGCCACAAAAAAGCCCGGTTACAATATGCCTGACAACACCTTGACATGCCTAACCGGGCCTTTTTGTGTCATTGATGCAGTAAAGGCTTCTTTCTGGCACCTCCACCACGCAGCTCATTTTTGTTCAAGTGTCATCATATTGTGCTCCTTCAAAACAACCACACTGTCTTTTTCCAGAGCAGCCTGTATTTTTCTTGTGGTTACCTATGGGTTTCCCTTTGTATCCCAAACAATTCTTCTGTCAGTTATGGCTGCAATCTTTCTTGGTCTACCTGACCTTGGCTTGGTATCAAGAGATCCCCGAACTTTCCACTTCTTAATAGGATATTTAACAGTACTGATTGGCACAGTCAAGGCTTTGGACATCTTTATATGTCCTTTTCCATCTTTATAAAGTTCCATTACCTTGTTACGCAGGACTTTTGACAGTTCTTTTCTGATCCCCATGGCTCAGTATCTAGCCTAGTCAGTGCTTCCACGTAAGAGCTAACAAACTCATTGAATATTTATACACTGACACTAATTGCAATTTAAAAAGCCACAGATGTGGGACATTAACCTCTAATTGGCATTGTAACCCGTGTGTGTCACCTTGTGTGTCTGCACCAAGGCCGAACATTCCAGGGGAGGGAGACTTCTGATCCGGGCCATTTGAGTGATTTCTGTTATCATTATGATTTAAAAAGGAGCCAAACAACTATTTGATAATAAATGGCTTCATATGATCATCATCCTTCAATAAGAGCTTTTTTTTGGCACGATCAGTCATATTTTCAATATCAATGCCAACATTTCACAATTTCTGCCAGGGGATGCAAACTTTTGAGCACAACTGTATATTTATTGAAATATATTGAATATGGCCAAATTGTAGTGTTTCAAATATATGTCAATATATTGGGAAGAATATTTTTAAAATATATTTTTCTTCCACATGGGTTGTAACAAGTTCGGGACATAAGGAAGCCCTTACACATGTAACATAGCTTCCCAAATACAAAATCCCTGGATAAAGGCTTGTTTACACCAGGTGTGTTGAACACAATGCAAGGGCCCACAGAAAAGAAATACCGGTAGTTTTCTGTGCGCGCTGTTCATGCCATACATTTGCAGTGGTGTGTGTCACTGTGATGTGTAGCTTTGAAATAAATGTTATTTTGTGATCCTTCAATTTAGTTAAAAAAAAGTAAACAGTATGATGTGTTGTAACAATGCATCACACCGCCCTACACAACGCCCACCAGTGGATGCATGTTATATCGGAGCATAATGCACCCCTGCTGGTATGAACACGCTGGAATAAAACTGATTTGTAATTTTCTTTGCCAAATACCCATAACCTGACATTTTTCATAAATGTACTGGTATTGTTATCTAGACAGCAGCTCTGTTTTAAATAGAGCCTGTGGAGGCAGCGATAATCTGCCGCCGGTGACATGTGCCCACTCTGGCTGCCGGCTTGGCACAGCAAACACTAAGGACAGGAGACAGATGGTGCAATGGGAATCCTGCTTTAGTGATTAGCAGAGTTTGGAATTCATTTCTGCTGCTGTGGAGGAGGCCAGGGACAACCAACCATGACTATTAAACCAAGATGGAAGCATGCTAGAGGGAAGCACTTTAAAGGTTAATTATTTTTTTTTTGTAAAATAACAAACGTCATACTTACCTGCTGTGTGCAGTGGTTTTGCAGACAGCAGTCTGGATCCTCCTTCTTGGGTCCCCTGCAGGCTCTCCTGGCCTCTCCTTTGTCGGGTTCCCCACAGCAAGCACCTTGCTATGGGGGCACTTGCTGCCCGCTGTGTCCATTCACACACGGAGCCGCAACTTGGCTCTGCCCCCTCTTCTCATTGGCTGACTGGCTGTGATTGACAGCAGTGGGAGCCATTGGCTGTCTCAGCCATTGAGGGAGGCAGCGACCCGGGACAGTCGAGGCTGTCGTGCACATCGCTGGATCTCAGTGGGGCTCAGGTAAGTATTGAAGGGGCTCTGCTGCACACAGAAGGCTTTATTCCTTCATGCATAAAGGAAAAAAACCTTGAGCCTTTACAACCACTTTAATATAGCAAAGCACAAAAAGTACTGTGTAAACTATTAAAGGGAACCTGTCAAGATGGACATTACAACTTATTTACAGTAACTGATGCATAAGAATAAACGGCAACCCAATGCACCTTGTCAACAGAAGTGCAGTGCAGGCATCAGCAACTTA